CTAAAACAAAAAGTGTTTTAACAGAAAGATTTCTATGGCAGGCTTAAAGGAAAAGTGTCAATGTTAAATAACAGATGCAAATTTCTTCTCGATATAACATTTTTTTAAATTATTTTAAATTACAGATTTGAAGTAAATTTATGAATAAATAAGATGATCCCCATGATTAGAAGTCCTTAAGAAAAACACATCTGATAATTAGTAAAACATTAACTTCAAGATAGATTTTTGTTTAATACAAAAAAGGTTTTGAATGTTAAAATTTACTTTTTCACAATCACATTTATCAGATATTGTTTGAGGTCAGCTATTACTTCTTCAAGTCTTTGAACTTTAACCCTCAATATATTATTTTCCTGGTCAAGATTTTGAGCTTGGATTTCCAATTCTCTTTCTTTTCTTTTCTTGTCATTCTGGATTTACGAGAAGCTGCATTATTTTTTTTCCTCATTTCATAGTATCTGTTGTCTGAAAAGGTTGTGTCCTCAGTATGAGTGTGTCTTGGAACCTTTATTTTGTTTTCAGTATAAAAGTCTTCAAATGAAGAAAATGACTTATGACTTCGTTTCCCCTTTACTTTGACATCCTCCAAGGTAAAAACAGAGTTTTGAGAAGTTGATAATTCCTCAAGGATAGTATATGATGTACATGAATGTGCACTGCTATCATCAAATGATGGTGAAGATACACCAGGGAATGAAAACACATCCTATAATTAATAGGAACAAATGTTTTAATATCAAATATATTTAAATATTTTTAATGCAAGCTTCAAATTTCATATTAACTGAAAATGTTGTGTAACATCTGTTTTTAAAATATGATACTGTTGCAAGTTAGAAAAGTTACAGCAACCTTTATAACTAGTTTACACTATTTTTCTTTTTACATATTATACATTTGGCTTCTAGTCATTCATCTCAATCAACATTAGTTCTGAAAGGTCTAGTTATCAATACAGTTTTAAGTCTTATGGTAATTACAAAAAATATAAAACTGTGTTTATGGTAGAGAAGACACTAAAATTAAAGAAGGTAATACACAAGTTAAAACTCTCTTTACCTGTTGCATTAGTCCTGAGAGATCTTGGAACTCTTCGTTATTATCACAAAAATCATTCACAGTAACAGAAAGGACAGGAGACAGGTTTTCAGCCCCACTAACTGATAAACTTGGGGTTTTCAGTGTGGCCAGAACAGAACTCTCTGTTAGTTGACTGCTGGAAGAGAGAGGGGTATTGTCTGATGTAGTTATTTCAGAGCAGGCTTCAGTAGTCAGTATGGAGGCCTCGTTAGTTTTATCAGCAGTAGATCCAGATGTTGTGCACAAGACATTAAATGAATCATCTGAAAATTCTGAAGAAACATTTAGTTCTTCATCCTTCAGTGGATGAAACTGATATTGTCTTTCTTTCACTGCTACGTCAAAAGAAGCCAAGTCTTCTACTAGTAATAATTCTTCTAAATCTAGGTCCGGCCCAGTGTTTGTCTTCACAGCGTCATTTAAATTTGTTTGCTCTGTAACAATAAAATATTTTATATTTATCTCAACAATTACTTGTAGACATAAAACTAAGGACAAAACACAAAAACAAATGAACATCAGAGAATACAGTCGTGTGTGTTATATAGATAGTTAATCACACTTTAAAAGAACAATATTTTATGCTCCATCCAATAGTTATGATTTTTTTAGTGATGATGGAATTATGATGATTCTCAAACGTCTAATAAATGCTTCCTGTTATTACATTCATGTTTTATTTTATCGTTATAAAATTACATGTTGTGTATCTAACCGCTATAGCTGACCTTCAAACTATTTTGTATCTGAACAATGCATTTGATCAACAACCTTGTTTGTATATAACACTATTAACAGTAACATGGTAATCTTTCTCTCTTCTCCAGTACACACTTAAAGACAGTCTGCTGTACTTAAATTAGTGTTAATGTTTTTCTCTTCTCCAGTACACATGTGAAGACAGTCGACTGTACTTTTATGGAATTCTGTGCATTTGAAAGCTAATGTCGACATACAGTGAAGGATCTATGGAGATATGTTTGATCTAAGACTGAAATTGATCTCATAATCCTTTACAGATGCGTGTTACAATGTAAATTGCTGAGTCAAGCAGTTGTGCACCTCTTCTCTGGTCCCTAAATAACACACACTGACAGTCTTCACTGGATTGAAACCTATTTTAACTATTTCACTCAGTTTTCATTCTTTCATGTTATATTTGTATATTCCATTTGTTTATTTCTTATGTATATATTTCTGTCATAATTACAAATATTGTTTGTTTGTTTTGTAACTTAATAAGATTACTGATGATTAAATTATGACGACTCCGAAACGTCTAATAAATGTTTCCAACATGTTATTACGTTCGTGTTTTGTTTTATCGTTAAAATATAGTTTTATTTATCAAAACTTTCGAGTTTTATGATTACGAGGTTGATTGGTGACTTAGACAAGTCTAGGCTTTTTGTATTTTCAGCTTTTCATTTACCCTGTTATTGTTAACTATGATGTCTAGACTCACCTAGTCTAATGTATTCGTCAGAAAAAAATTCGGTAGCAGCCACTCCTTTACTAGCGAATGGTTCTGGATTGCTAGGATAGAAGTCTTGTTCGGAATTTTCAAGTAATTGATACACATGTCCAACACAGTGGTGCCTAACGTCCGTGCCTGAAACTGCCCACAGTGACATCTTCAAGTTTCACTCTGTAAATGTAACCATACACAACATTGTTAATACATTTCCTCCACATTCTTCACACGTACTGGAACTTGTGAAACGACACATGGATGTAAATATGAATAATACGATTTTGGTTTAATAACAATTATTTTCTATAATTTTAAATATTTTAGTACAATATGTTAATAAGCAACATTTCTTTCAAATTTATGTTGTGATTCCTATTTTTTAATCACCTTATTCTCACGCCCTGCACTATAGTACAAGTATAACAATATAAGCATAAAATGTAATACGTACTTTTATAAATCAGTATATCACGACAATATATATATATAAGCATAAAATTTGTAGTATTTTGTTCTTCTAAATGTGTATAAAACTTAAATGTTTTTGTACTAACCTGTAGTTGTACTAATAATAATTCCAAATTACGTTTAGCAAATTTGAGCGGCACGGCCTTCTACACTTAAGGGACTGTTCTACGATTCACTCACGTAAACACTTCCCATCTACCACCACAAGACCGTTTTACGTTACACAATTTTCTTGCAATCCTCTTAAATAACCTCAGACAAGTATAAAATTAGCAATGACATCACTAACATCCAATCCACGAAGTTCTTTATGATGTAATTATTTTCAACCAATGAAAACATAACTACGTCACTTTTATATGATAGTTTCAATTCCAAGAAATTTGGTAGTGTACGGAGGTCTATTAGGAACATTATATTTTTTTGCTTGGAGACGGCTTGAATGGGTAATAAAGAAAAACTTTAATATAAACTTAACGTTACAGCAAAACTTTGTACATTTACTGTTACGTTAAACTTATATTAAAGTTTTTCTTCATTACTCATTCAAGACGTCTCCAAGCATTATTAGTCTTAAAGTGAAGTTCCTCGTCATCGAATTATATTTTTTGTTTTATATCCGTAAAGGTATTAGCACATTAGTAATAAATATACAATAAATTATAATTGAAAAGTATTTGAAACTTCCATTATGAATTTGCAAGTCATATTAAAACAAATTGAATCAAACGAGAATACACATCTGTGGAATTATAATCAAATTCTAACAATTTATTCACCTTTTTTAAAGAAAAAGGCTAGGTTCTCGGAGTATAGACAGCCTTAGCTGTAGAAACATGTAAGTTATAAGAACGTATTTAATATATAATTTTGGGATTGGTTTCATCTATTTCGCCCTTGATAATTCTTTTTTTCAAGAAAGATTATTATAACTAATTTTCAATAAATTTTAAATACTTGGTGAATCATTATTACTGAATTGTGTACAGTAATGTAGATTTCATTCTACATTTTATTTTAAATCTAGCTCGCTTGTATTCAAATGTTGCCCTCCAACGGCTCAGTGGTAAGTTTGAGGCCATATAAAGCTCAAATTCGAGGGATGATCCATGCGTGGGTACAGTGCAGACAGCCCATTGTAGCTCTGCGCTTAAAGAAATTCAAATGTTATTGATAATAAACACCTTTTATAAATTAGTAACTTGAAATACTGGCAGTGCACTTTAGGTAAAGTTTTGAAAGTGCCGATCTAAATACTAAATTATACATACAAATCGTTGTTATGAAACTTGCACATACAAATTTATATACTATAATTGAAATAACTATTATTTATAATAGCATGAAATTTCTAAACTACCTGGTACTGATATAAAATTGATAACCCACAGTTTTACTGACTTTCTGTTATTTTGTGCTAGTTTAAATTGTTAACTCAGTCGGTAGAGTCTTGAGAGGTCTTGGGTTCGATTCCGAGCGGAGGAAATTACCATTAGAAAAACTGGCGCCAACCAGTCGTCGCTCCACGACTGTAAGATAAGGTACGACGAAGGGCCTTATTTGTGAAGGGGATGTTGTAGTAGCTTAAGTTGTTAAAGTGTCTTCCTGGTAAACCCCAGGACATCAACCCTTTAGTTTACTTGATAATGCACTCAATATGTGCGAAAGGTCTTGAACTCGATAACAAGTTATGGAAATTACCATAATTTCTAACTAAAATTTAGGCTATATTTACAAAATATATTGTTGTCGTATCCAAAAAACATAAGTTAAAAATTAAGTGGTTTTTAAATAATAATAATTTAATATTCTCCTTTTAGGTTTTCTTTATGAAATTATGTCAGATATTTAGGAATTCAAAGATAAATTTTAACTGCTTGTTGAAAAACGGAGATTAATAGTAGTAGATTCATAAATAACAAAAAATTTAAATATGTGTTGAAGCTAAAAAGAACAGTCGCCATAGTAAAAAAAACAAAAAAAACTTTCATAACACCTACAACAACAAATCAATATATTACGTTAATAGAGTTTTCCCGAAAGCTACTCAAATGGTTATTTGCGCATAGCCATCCTTAATTCTGAACTGATAAGCTAGAGGGAAGGAAGCTAGTTAACAGCACTCAATAAGGGTTGGTTATCCATATAGTTGGATTTGACCACCACTCTTACAGCGCGCTCAAGCCCTCAGGGTATAAAACGCGTTTTTACGGCAGCAGTCGTCGAATCGCGAACCTCAGAATGATAGGGCGAACTCGCTATTTAGTAGGCCACGTCCGGCTCTCGTATTGGCAAATTTTTTAAATGTAAATTATCAACATTCATTTAGAGCTGCATTAAATACATAATAGACTTTAATTGGAAATATGTACGTTGCTGTTCAAAACTAAAATTTTTAAAGTATTTAATATTGGTATTTAAATCTAGTTGACTCCTGCACTATACTTGAAAGTTCAGGACTTGAAACATAAATCAATACTTAAGGAGTAATAAAACTCCCCAGTAGCTCAGCTTTAAGTTTGGAATTATATCGTTTGGACAGTCGTGGTGGGCACAGCACAAATAGCCCATTGTGTAGCTTTGCGCTTAACAACAAACAAACAATGCAGTAATAAAACAAGAAAAATGAGTATATTCTACGTATATATATATATATAAGTGATACCCGACACGCAATTATTTGATAACTATATTGTATTTACCTGTTAAATAACCATCTCGTACTTACGTAATAATTATTACGAAATACGTGATATTATTTGCATATTTTTTTTTTGGCACATAGCTTCCATATGAAATTTTGTGAGGTATTGTAGAACAATTTGTTTGAAGTTAAGCACAAAGCTACACAATCTGAGCTCTGCCCACCATAGGTATCGAAACCCGGTTTCTAGCGTTATAAGTCCGCAGACATGCCGCTGTGCCACTGGGGGGCTTCTAGAACAGATATCCCTCGTGTAGCTTAGCGCGAAATTCGAGAAACAATAACAACAACAGGAAAATATGATCTGTTTTCTTATTGGACAACAGAGACTATTACTATTGGCTTCTCTTCCTTGTTCCTAGAATTGTGGTCTTAAAAGGGGAAAAGGGGAAGGAACATCACCTTCATGTATAACATTAGCTTAGAATGTAAATAAGAAAAAAGAAGAAAATCCAAAGGCAAATAATAATAAATTATACTCGGATTAATTTCTTACATTATTTTATAAAAATGTTGATTTAATATCAAAACCAGTATTGGTTGTCGTTTCAAGAATACTCTGATTAGTTGTGTTAAGTTTTGGTTGAAGAGTTGCTCATCCGGGACTTGTAAAGATAAGCGTAAGGACGTACGCCATATTGTAAGGCAAAAGAAGAAGAATATATTGAAAATTGAAGAAAAAAAGTAAAACGCATGGGCTATGTAGCTGAAAAAAAAATGTTAGTGCAAGTTAAATATACTTATACAGTAAATTATAAAATATTTTTTCGTAGAAAGCATGAATATAAAACACTAACCCTAAAGTAGGCTTAGCACTAACATTGAGTAACATTAACAACTTAACATAAGGCTTTAGTTAGTTTCACGTAGATGCAAACCTATATTTATTATTTATTTACTTGAGGCAGAGTGATATTTGTGGTTATAATATAAAGGCCTATTTTCATTGGCTAAGGACGCCAACCAAGTGTTAAAGACGCGATTTCAGAATCACTGAACTGTTCCAAGTTATCATTTGATCGCCGCATGTTTACTCGTCATTTCACGAATTTCATATGATAAACAACATGCTATTTCACTTTCAGTATTTGTTTAGCCTAGCACTAGCAGTATTCAGTTAGTAGTAATTATTTTAATTGTATTTAAATTGAAGTCAAAGGTTATTTTTATTTACAGTTAAGTAAAAAAGTTATCTATACATAGCATCTAGTGTTGTTGTGTGTTTGTATCGGTGTATGTGGGACTGGGAGGGGGAGGCATTCCTTTGTATTTGACCGCGGTATTAGGACTTCTTGTATTTGTTGGGTATGAGTTGTTGCTTACGTTCGAATCGCAGTGCTGTCTTTTGAGCTTAAGTTCTGGACAGTTTTTATGGTTTTGGTAGTTACAAAATTTGTTGCTCACTTGAATAGAAGATTCAGTATATATGGAGCTTTCAGGGTTATTAGTAAGATTCTCAAATCACAGTTTTTTTTGTTGTTTTTTAATGAGAGTATTTCATTTTGTGTTGGTATACATGCTGTAGTGTAGGAATGTTTGGTTGTTTTGAAGAAGTGTTTGCATAAAATTTTAATTATGAATTGCAAAGCTTTACAGTTTTGTACTTATGTATTGTATGCTATATCTAATATAGTCACCTACATATAATTATTAATTTAAAAATTGTCAATTAGTAAATACGAATTACTAGTATATAACCTACATTTTTGCCACTAATCAACGTCTGTCTTCCTGTTTGTGGCCAGGATTAGACTACAGGCCTTCTTGGTGGAAAGGCTAATTCGCTCATCTGAGGTCTCCTTCTATTAGGACTAGAATCAATTATTTGATTGCTTATACTAGGAGTTATCCAGGTTTTTCTAACCTTTATGATGGGTTAGTTGTGTATGTTATCATTTAAGTGTGTATCTGGTGTAACCATATACAATAACTGGTGATAAGTCCATCTGACTTCAGTAGGACAGTGTGTATCATTGTAGTGTCATGTAAACAGAATGACTTATATAAGAGATATTTTGTCCTTTATCATAAATTGAATTATTCTCTGTTTGTGAAGTGTTTTGTTAATCAAATGACTTAAATTGCAGCAAATGAAATTGGTTTACATGTTATTATATTACATAGGGCTGTGTTGAAAGGTTTAAACTTTAGCTTGCTAGCCAATTGTATTTAAAACTGAACACCATCAAACTATTATATGTATCAGCTCTTTTCTGCCATTGGAACAGACCATTATAGTGAAGGGTGGATACATTTAGTAAAATGTATTGATTGCCTAGTGTACATGCATTATGGTGGAATGAGTAATATAAAAGATACGCTAACAATAATAATTTTAATGTTGAAAAGGAATACCATTTTAACTCGACACTTCCTCCCAACTCGCGTATTTTTGATATTAATTAATGTTGGTAGAAATATGTGATTCTTAGTAACATCTTGTAACTCTCTGTCATGGAAACTGCTTTCTCTACATCATATCATTGGGTATAGCTACAGCAAAAGAACGTGCGATACAATAGTCTATGATAAAAGTGGTACGAACGATGTATCAATTACATCATGACATGACGAAGAATGGGTTGAGGTTACTACAGGTATGTATCTTTCAATCACTGTATATCAAGTTTACAGTGATTACAAAATCTCTCCTATACTTTCATAGGTACATACTTTATTATTAACATTTGGTTGTTGACAGTTTTCATATTGTTTATACATATAGTACGAATACAAGTGTATGTGTTTGAAATTGATAGACTTTATTGGGACTACATTTTATCTTGCCTTGACACAGGTGTCACGCGGTATCAGGTTACCAGGTAAAGTGATATTTTGTTAACAATGGGAAGGTAGCATGGAGCGAAAGGTCAGTTTACAGGTATGATTTCTAGTTTTTCATTAATTAGTAACTACACAATTGAATTTACAGTGTAAATCTACTAATTTGTGACTGTGGAATCCAATGGTGTGTGAATTTGTTTTGTTATTTTCATTATTTTACAGGTATGATTTCTAGTTTTTCATTAATTAGTAACTACACAATTGAATTTACAGTGTAAATCTACTAATTTGTGACTGTGGAATCCAATGGTGTGTGAATTTTTTTTGTTATTTTCATTACTTAAAAATCACCAAAATCCCTTACTTGGACCTATTTTGTCAAGTTAGGTAGAACCATGGCCCTTTTATATGTATATATATTTTTTGTTATTTTCATTATTTAAAAATCACCAAAATCCCTTACTTGGACCTATTTTGTCAAGTTAGGTAGAACCATGGCCCTTTTATATGTATATATTTTTTTTGTTATTATCATTATTTAAAAATCACCAAAATCCCTTACTTGGACCTATTTTGTCAAGTTAGGTAGAACCATGGCCCTTTTATATGTTTTTTTGTCATAATATGTTTAAAGTTTGTGTTTCATTGGTGGTTCAGATGCCATTTGCTTGTATAGAATGATGAGAAATCATTTTTCCAGTGTCTCATTAGTAGCCTTTTTTTCTTTTAGGCCACAATATTATGGTGTTTTGTCTTCGTGTATAATTTTATTTTCATGTTTTTTTATAATTTTTAATTTAAAAAATTTTTTTGTTACATATTTTAATGTTAATTTAATCTTCTGATGGCATGTGCAGCATTTTGATTTGTGGGGTGTATGTTATTTTTAATTTTATTTTCATGTTTTTTTATAATTTTTAATTTTAACAATTTTTTTGTTACATATTTTAATGTTAATTTAATCTTCTGATGGCATGTGCAGCATTTTGATTTGTGGGGTGTATGTTATTTTTAATTTTATTTTCATGTTTTTTATAATTTCTAATTTTAACATTTTTTTGTTACATATTTTAATGTTAATTTAATATTCTGATGGCATGTGCAGCATTTTGATTTGTGGGGTGTATGTTATTTTCAAATCTTTCTTGTTGTCTTAATTTTTTAATAATAAAATGGATCCACCACCAGTATTATTTGTGGTGTAAGACGTGTGTAAAATTTTATTGTTATTTTGGAGACTTACCATTTCTTTCTTGCAAGTTCTTTGGTCTGAGGTTTGATATCAGGTATACTGATTTATGAATTTTCTTCATGATTATTTATATTGGATGTACAATGTTTTTATATATTAATTTCTAGATTTTTCTATGAATTTAAATATGAGTCATCCATATAGTGGAAATAAAATTGTTTCTAATTTATTAAATCAGGGTTTCAACCACAAACTTTGAAACTGGGTAAACTATGCCATTCTGTGAACAATTCATAAGATAATTTATACATTGTTTAATGTATTACTACTATTCTCTGTTTTTAAAGATAATAATAGTGAATTTAATACAAACATAACATAAATACAGTAAGAAATGAAATGAATAAATTGCTGCTCCTGTAAATTTGTGTCAGCTAACTACTTATATCCACAAAATTTATAACTTCAATTAAAGATTTTACACATAACAATTGTACCAAATGTTTCATATTAAACCATTGATTTTAAAAATGTATATCCTTATAGAAATGCATGTTTCCTTTTTTTTCTTTCTTTTTGCCAGCTTGTACATTATATAAAAGCTGTTTGTGCATGTTTGGAATCCAGTAAATGTCTGATTTCTAGTTTTTGATGTTTGGAAAATGTGTGTCATTGAAATTTGTATTTACTACAAACACCTATGTCATGAATATGGTTGATGAGACAATATTACTTGTTTAATTATTGTAGTTATTACAAACACCTATATTATGAATGTGATTGATGAGGCAATATGACTTGTTTAATTATTGTATTAATACAAACACCTATGTCATGAATGTGGTTGATGAGGCAATATGACTTGTTTAATTATTGTAGTTATTACAAACACCTATGTCATGAATGTGGTTGATGATGCAATATGACTTGTTTAATTATTGTAGTTATTACAAACACCTGCATCATGAATGTGATTGATGAGGCAATATGACTTGTTTAATTATTGTAGTTAATACAAACATCTATGTCATGAATGTGGTTGATGACAATATGACTTGTTTAATTACTGTAGTTATTACAAACACCTACGTCATGAATGTGATTGATGAGGCAATATGACTTGTTTAATTATTGTAGTTAATACAAACACCTATGTCATGAATGTGGTTGATGAAACAATATGACTTGTTTAATTATTGTAGTTATTACAAACACCTACGTCATGAATGTGGTTGATGAGGCAGTATGACTTGTTTAATTATTGTAGTTATTACAAACACCTACGTCATGAATGTGGTTGATGAGGCAGTATGACTTGTTTAATTACTGTAGTGGTGAAATTTAGATTTTGAAGTATCATTCAAGAAGCTTCATTACTATCTGAAGTGTAAGAAATAAGTATTTAAAAATATTGGGAAAAACATAACATTACTTTTGAAGTATTCTTTAGCATTCACTCTGGATATTTAAGTGAATAATGTACATTGATATGCAGTCATCTTGATAGATATTGTTACTTCCTCATTCTTACCTGATGACCTGCTGCTCAGTACTAAGTCTGAGTGCTCACATTACTAGAAACTGAGTTTCAGTACTTGTGGTGGGCACAGCACAAATAGCCAATTGTGTAGTTTTGTGCATAACAAGAAAACAAACAAATCTTGCCTGATGTATGTTTGTATTGTGAATCAGTTTTATATCCCCAAGAATCAGGAAGCACAAAGTATTGGCATGTTTGTTACAAGTCTTAAAATATATTAGTGTTTAAAGGGTTGAAGTAAAATTACATATATATATATATATATATATATATA